TCGTGCGCGCCGCGGCCGCCGGCGCCGGGGAGCTGCCCCCTCTCGGGCCGGCCACGCTGCTGGCCATGTGCGTGCAGCATTCCGCTCGGGAGCTGGAGCTGGGCCACCTGCCGCGCCTGCTGGGCCTCCTGGCCCGACTCATCAAGGAGGCTGTCTGGGTGAGCGCCCCCCAAGGGCCCGCCCAGCCGCACCCCGGGTCCTCCCCCACCTCTCCTCCCGACGTCCAGCCCTGACCTCTTAGCTGGGTGGGAAGAGAAGCCTTGGGGCGGCCCCGTGGGATGCTGCGAGTTGAGGACTGTCCCACTTTGCTCAAAAATAGGGGGGAGAGCGCGTGCGCGCAGGTAGGGGAAGAAACCGTTCTGCGAGGTTGGAAGGGGAGCGCCATGGGATTGGAAGGAACCAATTAGGAGACGTGAGACTGGCAGCCCATTGGCTCTTCACTTGAACCTTGCAACTCCCTGCCCTAGAGTCAGTTGTGACTCTTCAGTGGGTGCCTTAGTGGGCGAGACCATTCTAGAAAGCGGGGAGAATGATCAGTAGACCCACAGGTGGAAGGGACCAGGAGAAACTGTTCTGTGCATGGGGAAAGGTACTGGTGGTCAAGTTAGGGCCTAGTGAGAAGTTGCAGAGTTTCTGAAGAAACTCCACTTTTAAAGGGTAAGAAAGAGGCTCGAGAACATTCTGTCATTTCAGAGGTAGGGTCTGTTTTGTGGGAAGAGTGAGGGGGGGAAAAAAAGACCCGTGGAAAAAATCCTTACGCGACCCCCACCCCCACCCCCCATTCCCACTTGATCTTAATTCTGCTCTTCCTGTTCCCCAGGAAAAGATTAAGGAAATTGGAGACCGTCAGCCAGAGAAGTAAGAAATTCGGGGAGAAAGGGGGTGGGGTTCTGGATTTGCATTCACTTCTGGGTTTACTTCATGTATGCCACCGTCCAAAACTTTGTTCACCAGCAAGACGCAGAGTTTGAACTGTAAAGTGGAGGCTGCTCTTCTTTTTCAACTGAGACTCAGATCTTGGGGTTTGGAGACTGGAGTGGGGATTGGTCATGGACCACAGTTCCCTTTGTTCCTCCTCAGCTACCCTGAAGGGGTCCCTGAGGTGCCCCTGACCCCCGAGGCTGTGTCTGTGGAGCTGAGGCCGCTCATGTTGTGGATGGCCAACACCACGGAGCTTCTGAGCTTTGTGCAGGAGAAGGTGCTGGAGATGGAGAAGGAGGCCGATCAGGAGGGTGAGACTGGACTCAGGCCTCCTGCTAACACCTCTACCCTGGGAGTGTGGGCTCTAGCTTTCTAGTCCTGAGTTCTCTGCCTCTAACTGCCAGCCCTGTGCTCCCTCAGACCCACAGCTCTGCAATGACTTGGAATTATGTGATGAGGCCATGGCCCTCCTGGATGAGGTCATCATGTGTACCTTCCAGCAGTCTGTCTACTACCTCACCAAGGTGGGCCTTGCCCTTTACTTCCTGTCTGACATGACATCACTTCCGGTTCCAACTGTATCCTGCTGCACTCAGGTTCCTTCCTCTTTGACCAGTAATACTTCCCGCTTCTATGACATCACTTCCTGGTTTCCTCCCTGCAGGTTGCTCTTCTGACATCACTTCCTGTGTGAGCTTACAGCACTTCTGCCTTTCTGGTTGCCCCTCCCATCTCTGCAATCATTACCCCTCACCAGGGGGGCATCAGCATCACGTTCTCAAATTCCTATTTTCTCAATCCACTCTCCAGTCACTGATATGTTGTAAATATTGATCAAATACCTACTGTCATTTCAACTAAAACCCATTGGACTAAAAACTACCTTCAAGTTTTTTCTGACTCATAGTGACCCTATATAGGGTTTCTAAGGCTGTGGAGTAGACAATTTCATCTTGCACCATTTCAATGAAAGGTTTTCTTTATAAGGTTAGAAAGCCTCAACTTTCTCCCTCAGAATGCCTGGTGGTTTTAAACTGGTGACCTTGTGGTTAGCAGTCCAGCTTAAAACTCACTCCCTTTAGGCTCTCTTTGATCAGACCTTACTTCTTGTGTTTGCAGACCTCGTTGTGGGAGCTATTCCTTTGCTTCATAACCCCTTCTGAGACATTGACCTTTCTCTGGTCATAGGATCCACCTGCAGACCCTACCTCCTGACCACCATCCTGGACCGTCGTCCTTGACCCTAGTATTCCTTCTTGGGATTCTCGGAAATTAAAGGGGGACTTTTGGGAACAGACCGTCTCTAAGTGTCCCTTGTAGCTGATTTCCTCCACGGCTTCGCTTCCTGTGCATCTTTGCCAAGTGGGGTTTTCTTCCTTCTCTGGCTCTGACTTCATTTCCTGCCCTTGGCCTGATCTCACTTTCCCCTGGCTGACTGCCACCCCAGCCGCACTTCCTGATCTCTATTCTTCTCTCCTTTGGGAATCATGGATAAATACTTCTTTGACTGAAGAGGGCCTCTTTGTCCAGGATCCTTTGTCCTCCTTGAGTTGAAGGACGAGCCCTCCACACAACCAGAAGTGGTTTTAAAATACCCAGGAAATGTCTGGGAAAGCCTTAAGACTCGAGGCATATCAGACCATCTCAGGGCTAGAAGCCCACCTAGAAAGTAGGGATTTACTCCAGGAGCCCCTGAGCCCTGGAGATAGACTGAACTACCAGTTCCCAGAAGTCTGTTCTCTCTATGCACTGTTGCCCTGAAGCTTGTTGGGAGTTGTGGTCCAGTCATTTGTTCTCGCCTCTGTGTCTCCTCAGACTCTGTATTCCACGTTGCCTGCCCTCCTGGACAGTAACCCTTTCTCAGCTGGAGCAGAGTTGCCGGGACCTGGTGCTGAGCTCGGGGCCATGCCTCCAGGGCTGCAACCTACCCTGGGCGTGTTCCAGGCAGCCCTGGAACTGACCAGCCAGTGCGAGTTGCACCCGGACCTTGTGTCTCAGACCTTTGGCTACTTGTTCTTCTTCTCTAATGCATCCCTTCTCAACTCGCTCATGGAACGAGGTGAGGGTCGGGCTGGGAGAGGGCAGGGACACAGAGACAGGGGCCACCAAGTCCCATGTCAGACACACCACGGCTTCAGAGACTCGGGAGAGCAGATGGGAAAGGAGAGATTGGTGCCATTTCTGGGGGACCGAGTGGGTCCAAGGGGACGGTTGTGTCCATGAGGAGTAAATAGGCGTGAGACAAGACATGTAAAAGCTCACCTCTTCCACTGGAGACCGGAACCAGAATGAGAGAGTGATCGAAGGGAAAAAATTAGGAGACAGACAAAAGTATTGGGGTGCTCACCTCTGCCATGGCTTCAGGAACCAGGTCTCAACAGAGAGCGTAATGTGTTCTCTCATGAGCTAATGTAATCTGGGGCATGCAAGCCACAGTAAGCACATACGTAACAGGAAGGGGATTGTATTAGAGGCATATGTGTAACAGGAGGGGGCCGAGCTAGGGGTGTACACGCAATAGGAAGGGGAGGTGCTAGAGGCACACATGTGACGGGAAGGGATATATGGAACGAGAGGGGTGGACTCTACAGTCAAGATGGCAGCCTTGCCTTGGTCATCCTCTGAGTTGGCTTGACCTTAGATACCTTTGAGCTCTTCTCCAAGGGAACCATCTATGATCCTTATCGGAAGGGAGTGGGACAGACAATAGGATCTGATTGCTTTTGATGGCCGATAACCTTCAGGCAGATAGCCTTCACGCAGTTGACCTTCAAGAGTACAGTGAGCCCACCCTGTGTTTGCAAACAGCCACTTACATTTGGCATTATTATAAGGGGACATTGAGGGGAATGACCTTTACTTGGGAGCAAGTGACTGGAACTTATCTCCAACTTACCAATGTGAGGCTCCCCCTCCAGGGCAGCCCCAGCCTCCCACATTTTGGAAGGTTGCGAGTTTGCCCCGCATATACTGTCTTCCTGGTTTTCAGTTTCCCACCACCATCCATGTCCCTTCTCCCCTCCCTCAACAGGTCAAGGTCGGCCTTTTTATCAGTGGTCACGAGCTGTTCAGATCAGAACCAACCTGGATCTTGTCCTGGACTGGCTGCAGGGGGCTGGCCTTGGTGATATCGCCACTGAATTTTTCAGGAAACTCTCCATGGCTGTGAACTTGCTTTGTGTGCCCCGCACCTCTCTGCTCAAGGTGACTCCCAGTCAACTCTACCTGCCCCCTGACATCTGATTCCCCAACCATCTTCTGTATAACCACCCTTCGAATCCACATCACCTCCAGCTCCAGCTTAGACATGAGATTTGGCAGCTAGAAAGAAGCCCAGCACAAGCAGTACTTGGCTGAGTCTGATTCCCTGTGGGACATCTTACACACAGTTCCAGAGCCCCCCCACATGCTGACTCAGGAAGTCTTGTGGTAGTTCAAGCTTTCATTGAACGGGAACTACATGTCACTGTGGTTAGCATATTTCATTGAACTTTAATGCATCCTGCAAAGTACATTACTAATAGGCAGTTTCTCAGAGGAGGGAAAGCTGATCAAATAGGATAGGTAACTTGATTTTATTTTCTTATTCTTATTTATTAAGGTGTACAAAGGCTTTATGAAGCACAGAATGGTATTCTGAGTCCTTTTGGAATCTTCAGAACAACCCTAGTAGGCTGTTATTGTTAGATGTCATTGAATCAATTTAGACTCTCACTGACTCTATGTACAACAACAAAGCACTGCCTAGTTCTGTGCCCTCAGTTGTTATGTTTGAACCCATAGTTGAACCCATTGTTGTCAAGCAGGATGTCCATTTCCAGGGACTGGTCTCTCCTGATAACATGTCCAAAGTAGGTGAGACAAAGTCTCGCCATCTTGCTTCTAAGGAGCAATCTGACTGTACTTCTTCCAAGACAGATTTGTGGATGCCTTTGACATCTATGGTACTTTCGGTATGCTTCACCAGCACCATGCTTCAAATGCATTCATCCTTTTTCAGTCTCCCTTATTCAGTGTCCAACATTCATAGGCATAGGAGGTGATTGAAAAGACCATGGCTTGGGCCAGGTCTTTAGTCCTCAAAGTAACAGCCTGGCTTTTCAATATTTCAAAGAAGTCTTGTATTCAAAGGGAGCCCCATTGAGAATAATGAATCCCAGTGTAAACATCATTCCATGATATCAACCAGGATCCAATCTTGTTTCTTCTGTGCTCTCATCCACTCCATGTACCTTATTTTACCTGAAGCACATAACTTTGTCTCTCCCCCGTTTTTTAATTGTTGAGTCTGCATTCTTCAGTTATGTCAGGGACAACCAGGCCCCACAGCACCCAAAAGGGGCTGCAGAAGTCTACTCCCCTGCATCCATTTCCTTTATAGAGGTCTTCCATTTAGGATTTCTTCGCCACCCCATAGTGACCTTAGACTTCTTTCCTGATCATCCCACCCAGGCTTCATGGAGCAGTCTACGAACTGACCATCCCACCTTGACCCCTGCTCAGCTCCATCACCTGCTCAGTCACTACCAACTGGGTCCGGGGCGTGGGCCACCACCTTCCTGGGACCCACCCCCTGCAGAGCGAGATGCTGTGGACACAGGTGAGGAGCAACTGGGACACGAGAGCTGTCCGCTTTCTTCTTTTAAAATTTTAATTCCATTGGGGGCTCTGACAGCTCTTACAACAATCCATACATCCATTGTGTCAAGCACATTTGTACATATGCTGGCCATCATCGTTTTCAAAACCTTTTCCAAAAAAAAAAACAAACAAAAAATGTTCTTTCTACTCGAGCCCTGGGCATCAGCGCCTCCTTTTTACCCCTTCCTCCCCCACCATGGATAAATTATTTTCATATCTTACACCATCCACTGTCTCCCTTCACCCATGTTTGTTGTTCGTCACTCTGGGGCAGGGGTGGGTGTGTGACACATCAACCATTGCGAACAGTTCCCAAGCTTTCTTCTTTACTTGAGTCCTTAGGAGCCCATTTCCCTGTCGCATCCTCCTCCTGATGCAGGATCCTGGATTCCTAGCCTCTTCCTTCCCCAGGAAGAATGTGTGCAGACCGTAACTCCGTTCTCAGGATCTCCACCTAATTCAGACCTATACTTTCCATTCCCATGAATCCTTCAGACGAAGTTCCTATTCCCAGCCATTTCCCCCTCGCAGACCTAAGAACCCAAACGCAATGCTTGTTTCCCCGACAACGGTGACCTTTCGTTGTCTGTACTACAACTCCCATCATGCTCCCTGACTCTGAGACGCCTGTTAGAATAGGCTCTGCTGGGGGAGTGGCTGGTGTAGACGTTTTCTCTTCCTGGGGGTGGGAGGCGGCCTGGTTCGTCCCGTCAGCGCTGCCCCAGGCCTGCTTTCAGAATTTAACCCCCTTCTCCTCGGACTCACAGGGGACATCTTCGAAAGCTTCTCCTCCCACCCGCCCCTCATTCTGCCCCTGGGCAGCTCACGCCTGCGTCTCACGGGGCCAGTGACCGACGACGCCCTGCACCGAGAACTATGCAGGCTCCGCCGACTTCTCTGGGACCTTGAGCAGCAGGAGCTGCCGGCCAATCATCGCCACGGACCTCCCGTGGCCACGCCTCCTTGACAACCAATAACAAATGAGCGCGGGAACCTTGAAACTTCGTCGGCTCTTAACTCACAGGAGCCCGTCTGAGCGCAGAGGTTTCTGGGAGTTGTAGTTCTCCCCCCCCCGGGTGGCAGTCTAGGCGTTTGAATTGTGGAACAGCGGAGGATGGGACAGTGGGGAAATGGGCTTGAAATGTGGGTGCCAAGAAGCAATAAAGATATCTGTGGTAATTGGCAATGCCTGGCTTTTTAAGACTCGGGGCGCTAGTGTTGGTTTTCCGAGCCCTTGCTTGGAGTGCTGGGCCCCTGCTGAGACCAAGGGCATATTTATAGTCATGGCCTCAGCGTGCCCTCCTGCTGGTAATCCGACCTGGGGGCGGAGGAGCCTCACACACAGCTCAGATCAGAGCCCTCATTTTGCAGTGCCAAATGCCAGGCCCTAGGTCCTGGCCATTGGGAACCCCTTCGACTCCCCAAATTCAGATTCCAGCCCCCCCCCTCACACTCAGGAGTCCGGACCCCCAGCCCCCTCCTAGACTTCTGTCCCATATTCAGCCCTTTCCCTGGCTATATGTTTCATGTCATCTTGTGCCTGCTGCCACACGCGGGTGGCCTTTCCAAAACCCAGGATCCAGGACCCCATCCTGTCCGTCTTCAAATCGAGATGTCTAGGTCCCCCCTCCCCCTCCTTCTGCGACCCAGACATCCGAGTTTGTGTTACCCCTCTCCCCCAGGAATCGCAGACCCCTGTTCCCCAGACCCCAGATTCCTCCCGGACCCAGTCTCAACCTCGCCACGTTGTTCCACACACCCAGAATTGGGGGTGGAGGGGCTAACCGCGCCCTCCCCACCATCCTCTCCAGAGCCCAGGAATCCCAACTCCCTTCTTCCCTAGACCTAGGAATCCGGGTTTCCAACTTGAACTTTTCACTCCCCTGACTCTGACTGCTGCGTCAGGAAAAAAGCAGGCGACAGGTGGCACCTGCCGGCCAGGCAGGGACGTGACCACCTGCCGCTGCAGCTCACACGGCAACCCCCTGCGGGCACCTGCTTCCGTCAGTCCGCCCAGCCGGCCCCGCCCGGTGGTCTAGCGGAGCAGGGCCTGGAACCCTGGGATCCGCCCAGGCCCCGCCCCGCCCCGCCCCAGCCCTGCCCTTACTTCTCCTCTGCTCCCAGACAGGCCTGAGGCCGGGCGCCGGCACGCCCCTGAAAGGGGAGGGGGTCCCAGACTGCAGGGGTGTGTGTGAAACTGACAGCCTCCAGCCCAGACGGCCACACAGCACCGCTGCGACGAACTTACCTGGTGAGAAGCCTTAGGGGGTGCAGGGGGGAGACCTTTTTTGTCACCACCCCTGCTCCCGCTTCCTTCTGAGATGCAGGTGACAGGAGCCCTTCAACACCTGCCAAGCCCTTTCCCCCCTCTAGAGCAAGGATCTTTGAGTCTAGACCCTTCAGAGAATGATGAGTGACCAGCCCTTCTCCTTCACAATTCAGGAACCCAGGCCCTAGCCCCCTCCTCCCGCAGACCCTGGAGTCTTATAAGCCCCAGCTTTCTCCTCCCAAAGACCCAGGAGTCACAAGCCTCAGCTCCGGGAACCTAGGCCCTCAACCCCTCATCTCTTAGATCCAAGAGTCCTGACCCTCCAGCCCCTCCATTTCCAGGAACTAGCTGTTTAAGGTCCCAGAGAGGACCCCCCCCCCCCAGTTCTAACCTCCCTCAGCTAGTCTTCCTATAAGTTCACACGCAGGGACAGCCTCTGACCTCACTGATCCTGCCCCCCCCTTGGGGGTTCTGCCACTACCCCCTCCCATTCCAGGCCCCCACCACGGCCTTGGCCATGACCCTGGCGGCTTCCTCCCAGCGCTCCCAAATCATTCGCTCCAAGTTCCGTTCTGGTGAGAGGCTTCTGTGTGTGGGGAAAGGGTCCCGGGAGTGTGCACAGCTGCAGGGAGGGGGGACAGTAGGTCACCAGGGAGACACTGTTTTCTGGGCTAAAGGTTACTTGTGCAGTAAGGAGAGAAGAGGGGGTCAGTGAGAGAGGGGGGATGGCTGGAATAATGGCGGTGGGGGTATTTATGTGTAGAAGAGTAGAGAGACAGGTGTACAAAGTATTGGGGCAGTGGGGACTTGCCTTGGAGAGGACAACTAGCAATCGAGGCTGGTCAGTGTCGAAGGCCTTGAGTCAGGACTTGGGGGGGTGGGCAAGGGTCCGCAGCTGCAGTGACTTTCTTGGAGAAGGGGTGCTGGGGGGGGCAGCTTTTGAGTGTGCAAAGGAGTGTGCCCGCGATAAACAGAGCAAGAAGGGTGATGAGGAAAAGTCCTTGCTCCCAGGAATCCTGAGTGTGCAAATAGTGCAAGACCCAGCTGAAGCCGGCGCCCAAGGGTGCCAGTGCACAAAAGCAGCAATATGTACATTAAGGGAGCTCAGGGAGAAGGAGGTTTACAGGGTGGGTTTGCAAACGGGAGATGCGAGTGGCCCCGTGCTAAGCGAGGTACGCGCGTAAAAGGAGGGCCAGGGTTGCCAAGATGGCGATTGTGCCCGGGCTGGGTGGGCACTCTCCCCAGGGGCAGGTGGAGCTGGGGGCAGGGCGGACGCCTGCCGGCACGCTGGCTGGCTCCTGGCCCCAGCTCAGCCCAGGCCCTGGGCTGCGGCGCTTCGCTGGCAGGGAGCAGGCGGGAGGCCCAGGAAAGGGAGCGGGCTGCCCGCCCACCCGCCTGCACCGGGTGTGTGTTAGGGGGCTGGGCACGCGTGGCCCGCCAACAACTGCAGATCCCGCCTGCCTGACAGCCCGGGCTCCTGGGGTACTCCCTTCCCGCCTTCCTCCTCCCACCTTCCACCTCCCTCCCCAGTTCTCCAGCTGCGGATCCACAGACGCTATCAGGAGCCCAGTAAGTGGGGGGAGGGGGCGAAAGGGAGGGCCTGCTGACCTCTTCTGTGGGGGGAGGGAACCCTGGAGTTCCACCGTCCAGTCCCCACATGCAGCACCAGCTATATAGAAATCCAATCCTGTCCTTTGCTGGGAACCCAGGAATTCGGCGCCCCTACCCCACCCTATCCTAGCTCCCCCACAGGGGGTGCCTGTACCCATCCCCTCTTCAGATTCCACACTCAGCCAGTTCCTAGCCTTCCTAAGACAGAGGACTCCAGGCCCCACCCCTGGCCTTGCAAAAATCCCAGAAATCTGTGGTCCTAGGCTCCCACACCCCTTGGTAACCAAAGACATGCTCCCAGCTTTTCTTGAGAACATAGACAAGTCTGCGGGCCCTTGGTCGGTTCTCAGATTCAGGGGTTTGCAGCGCCTAGCTTCTCACCACTTCTTGGGGACTCTGCTTAGCTCTCTGGGCCTGCCCTCCTGCACCAGGGGGCCCCAGGGGCCTCCAGAGGCCTCCTCCCTGCAAAGCCCTGCTCCTCCCTCCTGGCTCTCCCCCTGCAGGCTTCTCAGACTCCATCATCTCTCCAGTCTCCGGGGCCGGGGCCGTTCTGGGCCCGACTCCGATCTCTCCCTCAGACCCGGACCCTTTCTTCTCCGGCCTTGGGGTCCAGCTCCCTGAGTTAGAATACACCCCGTGGAGGTCTCCAAAGAAGGTGAGTCTCGAGATGGGCATGCTGGTAAGTTCCCCTGAAGGTCTATCCTAGCTCTTCCTTGCTGCACATAGGCTCCTTTCTTCTCTCTAGCCTTCCCAGAGGAGACTGGTGGTGTAGTGGGTTAGATGATGAGTTGGGGGCTCCTATCCTCAAGGTCAATGGTTCCTAAGCCACCAGCTTCTCCCCTGGAGAAAGATGAGGCTGGCCGATCCTTGGAAGACTGACAAGCTTTGGAAACCCACGGGGGCAGTGGTGCTTTGTCTGCAGGACCTCTAAGATGGCACTGACTGATGGTTTTGTTTGTTTGTTTCATTTTCCTCAGCCGCCCCCACGCTTTGCATGAGTTTCCGGGTCCTGAAGATGGGCGTGGAGCCCAAGGGCATACCCTGACCTCTGACCTACTTTTACAGACCTTTCCTAAGATCTTCCCACATTGGCAGGAGCCCAAGCCCAACGGGCACTTGACCTACCACCAATACATGCCCCCAGAGCCAAGGCAAGGGTCTAGGGGAGACCCCCAGACTGACGGGACAGCTCCGGGACCCCCAGGACCACCCCTGTGGGATGGAACAAACGCACAGCCACCATATCCTAGGTATGTCTGTCCCTCGTTCTGCTTCTGTCCTTCCTTCCGGAACCCACCAGCCTCCCTTCCTCAGCAGGTCTGAGTCTGGGAGCCCAGCTCCTCCCTTCCGGAAGACCTCCCAAAGCCCAGGCCCCAGGTCCTTAGGAGTCAAGTCCTTCAGCACCCCAAGAGTCCTAGCACCACCACCACCCCACCCATACCAGTTGCGGGAGTCCTCCCAGGGTCCACAGGCCCTATCTGCGTGGTGGCCCCCTGGATCTTTGGGGAGCCTCCCTGGTCCTGGTCCCCAGAACAGCTAGCTTTGATCCAGCTGTTTTTACTACTCACTGTTCCTTCTCAGGGCTGTCGCCAGGATGAAGCCCACTCCCCAGACTCCTTCCCCGCCAGGGGCCCCCAGCCCCTCACCCCCGCCCCACAAGCTGGAACTTCAGACTCTCAAACTAGAGGAGCTGACGGTGAGTTTCAGGAGTAAATGCTCAAGAAATGGGGGGGGGTCCCCCAGTTTCATCCTTTCCAAGGTCCGAAGAGTGGGTTCCCAAGACCCCTCCCAGCCCAATCAGCCCCCCTCTTCCCGTTTCCCGCCCCAGGTCTCCGAGCTCCGCCAGCAGCTCCGCCTGCGGGGCCTCCCGGTGTCAGGGACCAAGTCGATGCTCCTGGAGCGCATGCGCGGCGGCGCTCCGCCCCGCGAGCGGGGGAAGCCGAGGCGCGAGGACAGTCCCTCGCGGGCTCCGTGGCCGCGCCTCAGGCCCAAGGCCCTAGGAGCAGCCCGGCGGCAGACCTCGGTGAGGGCAGGGCATGGGGCGGGGTTGTATTCGTGTGGACCAATGAGGAGAGAACATGGTAATGAGGCGGGTAATTGGAAAACGAATAGCCAATGAAGTGGCGGGGGTGTGGTCTAGCAGCCGGGGGGGGAACCGTGGTGGCCGGGGGGCGTGGTTCAAGCAAAGAGGGCGGGTACTAGGGGCAGCAAAGCCAATGAAAGGCGAGGGTACGGGCAAAGGCGGGTCAGGGAGGGAGGGGTCGCACGAGGGGCGTGGCTATCAGGGAAAGCCAGTGGGTTTGTGCCCCGTGGGCGTGGCTTACTAGAACCCACGCTCTCCGCGGATCTAGTTCAAGGCCAGTCCGGCGTCCGGCCCGCCCCCGCCGCCGCCGCCGCCGCGAGCCCCGGACACCCTGGTGGCAGCGCCGGCTCCGGCCTCAGCCCGGATCACCTCCGCACCGACGTCCGCGGCCCTGACCCTGGAGGAGGAGCTGCAGGAGGCGATCCGGAGGGCGCAGGTGAGAGGGAGCGGGGCCGAGGCGGGGTGAGGGGTCCCTGGCAGGATCCGGCCGGAAGCCCAGGTTCACGCGGCTTCTGCCGTCCATCCGCAGCTGCTCCCGAACCGGGACATCGATGACATCCTGGAGGAGGCGGTGGAGCCTGAGGGTAAGAACCAGGCTCCTCCTTCTGGGGCGGAAGAGGGGGGCTGTGCGGGCGGCCGGCTGGGGGCGGCGGGGGTTCTGGACTCAGGTTGGAGGGAGGAGATTCGATTCGGGGATTGGGCTCCGACTTGGCTCCGGTCTGATGGAGGAGAGGGCACTGGTAGTGGTGGGGGTGGGGCGCTCAGACTTAGGTCTGAGGGACGAGGGCTGAGGTGCTGGACTCCAGCTCTGAGGGTGAAGTGGTCAGTGCTTGGACCCCCAAGTCTGAGGAAGGAAATGGAGAGAGAGAGTTTTCAGACTTTAGGTCTGAGGGAGGAAAGGACTGAGGTTCTGGACTCATGGGAGTAGATTTGAGAGCACCATCCCTGCCTCCTCAGCTCATTTTCCATTCCTTCCCCAACAGACCCGCTGCCCCCCATCCCTCTGGACTTCCCGGGCTCCTTTGACGTGCTGTCCCCCTCCCCGGACTCTGAAGGCCTCTCATCTGTCTTCTCTTCCTCACTCCCCTCCCCCACGAACTCCCCACCTCCTGCTGCTGCCAAGGGCCCCATGGACCCCTTGGACTGGCTGGAGGCTCTGAGTGGGGGTCCCCCACTGGGCTGTGGGCCCCCAGCTCCCAGCATCTTCTCAGCTGACTTCTCTGACTCCAGCGGGACCAGGCTGTGGGACCTACTGGAGGGTCCCTGGTGATGGCAGCCATGGTCTTCAGAGACTGAGAGCTGGTGGGGGTAGGGAGGTCAGGGAGGAGAGACTCCCAGTGGGTCAAGCGATGGAGCTGCTTGCACCACAAACACGGGATCAGAGGCAGCCCTTGAGACTTCTTGGAGTGACCTTTGCTTGCCTGACCTCCGTATGGCCTCCCCTCATGGATGATGTGGGGTAGGGGGTTTCTTGGCTGCTGACCAGCGCAAATAAGGTGCTTGCTACTTTCTTCAGAACCCCGGATGTGTTCATTCCCACCCCCTGCCTGTTGTCTGGGGACCTGGAAGGGAAGCGGGGACGTAATTGAGCCAGAGTCCTGGTCCCACCCTGGGTTTTCAGTGTTGGAGGGCACGGCAGAATCCATCCTGAATCTGCAGGCCCCACGTGTACAGAAACCAACTCTGCTCGGCTGTGACTTCTCTGGGGTAAATCGCCAGGCCTTTCTTCCAAGGGATCCCTGTTGTGTGTTTTTGGGTACTGTTGAGTCCGTTGC